CAGAAGTGCAGCTCTAAGTATCTGTCCAGTTAGAAACCTCAGAGGAAACATGTCAGATTCAGTTCATCAAAGTCAAAGAGCTCCAATGAGTTTGAAGTGTGGATCCAACATGTTTCTGTACAGAGCCTCAGTGATGCTGCAGAGCTGTGGTCAGTCTGGAAATAATGTCTGGAAATAGTAGAATATACGGTCACTGAGTCTTTAATGCTCTTTTAGTTTGTCTGCTCCACACCAGACCACAGAGATATTTCACGACACATACAAGGTTCCATCGTGGGCCCAATTTTGTTCACTTCATATCTGCTCCCATTCAGTTAGGTTCTGAGCAGATATGAAGACATCTCCTACCACTGCTATGCTGACGACATCCAGCTGTGTATCGCATTCAAACCTGGACAGACAGAAAAGCTGAAAATGTATAAATATCAGGATTTATTTTAAGATTCTCGTGTTTACATACAGAGCTGAACACAACGGAGAATCTGTTTATATTAGAGCTGCTCCAACTTTATAAACCCAGCAGGTCACTTTGAGTCCCGCACTAAACTACAAACTGTCTTTAAGTGGAGGCTCCACCACTGTAGAAGGTCCTACAGCGCCTATAGACCTTCATCATGCAGCTCAGTGGATGCTTTTAAAAAAGGCTTTTGTCTCACCGACTGTGATTTAGGTGTTTATTCTCTATGTTCCTATTACTTTTGATGACTATTTATGTGTCCTGGATCTACTGTTGCGTTTTGGTTTTTTTTTTTTAAATGTCCTCTTTTTGCTGAGTGGGAGTTTCGACCGGCCCGAGCGCTCATGTGCATAAAGCAGGACCTGACTTCTGCTTTATACCAATGAGACGCGGGGAGCGGAGGTCCGACGTTTTGCGTAACTTTCTTAAAACTCGCCGTTGTTGAACTAAAATGAGGACAGATTCAGCAACTGCAGAGCTTATTTCTCGTCTCAAGTGTTTTCAGAAATACTTTTCGCTGAACGGTTTTCGTAATAAAAGCAAAAGCTTACGGCCGAGCCTCCATGCAGCCTCCACAGGACCGGCATCTGCAGACCCGGAACTTCTTGGCCCTTATTGGAACGTTGGGTGACGGCCAAGCC